AATGTGTGTGTCTTGCACAGGCTTGCTTGCTCACATCGGGGGAGGGGTGCCACCTACAAATGGATTTTTTCCCCCTAAATTCTTTTACTGGTACATTTTAGGTGTACAATACGTGTACATTTATCACTGGGTGCTTGTACGTGTACTTGATGTATTGTGGTTATCTTTTTCCCCTTCACCTGTGCGCCCTTCACCCCCTCCACCCTTCCCTATTTATATAGACTTCATTTCCAACAAATGGATTTCTAGGGGCAGTGGTGCTAGGTACATCCGACTTGATGGATGCAGGGTGAGAGGAATGAGAGGACAGTCAGGTTTTCATAGCCATAGGTCCCACATCTGTGGATTCAATGAACTTTGATAAAAAATTATATTTAAGAAATTGAGTGTGGATTGAATGTGTACAGACGTTTTTGTCATTATTTCCTAAATAATACTGTATAGCAACTATTTATATAGAATTTATATTGCAGTAGGCATTATAGGTAATCTAGAGATAATTTAAAGCATATGGGAAGGTGTGGGTATGTTGTATACAAATACTATTTCATTTTATTTTTATTTATTTATTACTTCATTTTATATAAGGAACTGAAGATCTGATATTTTGGTATCTGTGGGGGTCCTGGAACATGTCCCATGTACTAAGGGCTGGCTGACTAGAGAGTAGGAAATTCAGAAGGGGTCAGAGGTGACAGGTTAGGACTTTCACACATTTGGATGTGTTTGGGCAAGCATGCACATGCAAGGTGTGTGCTGGCTATGTTCTCAGCAGTGGAAGAATAATTCATAAACCAGGCATTCTTCCTTTCTTGCACTTTGAAAATCCCACCTTAATTGTGTATGTCTTATGATTACAGACCATTAGAGACTATTAGCAAATGAACTATGAGATTTCAATCATGAAATGCAAACTCTCTTGTGAAATGCAAACCTAGTTTCACATATTAATTGCTTCTAATTAAGGAGGAACATTTTAGCCAATTAGCTTTTGGAATTTAAGTGTAATCAGGAGAATTCAGAGATTTACTAATTGCTTCCCTTACTGAAGCTATTTGCCTGTAGCACCAACACCTACTGTGTGCTCAAGGTGATACCCTAGTTGCACAAATATCCACTGTGTGTGTGTGTGGGCAACTGCAAAGCTTGGAAACTCTTTTGCTGTTGCAGTTGTATGGACAGCATTCCTTTGAAATTAATATATAAAACAAATGGGGGAAAATGAGGAAAGTACCAGAGCAACAGATCATCAGACTAGTTCAGACGCAGGTTTTAAATCTGAACTGAAGGCTGAGAGTATTGGGTAAAGGTAGGCAACTCCTATCACTTCTCCAGGTTGCAAGATGGCGACTGTTTCCTAAGCTTTGACCCTCCATGGCCCATGACAAACTTACCTGGTTCCTGATACCCATCCATGATGCCAGGCAAGGTGAGAGCTGCATGAAAAAGCAAACAGATCCCTTGGTAGAAAGGCCAAGTGCACTGTCACTGTTCAGGTACGAAGGGCTGCCAGTGGGAGTTTTTGAAGAACGTCTTTGTCCATCTCTTGGCACTGACACACTCTCTCCTCATGTCTCGTCCCTCATCCTCATAGTCCTGCTTGCTTTGGGTAGTGCATACACTTTTCCAACAGCATTGGGCTTATTTTCCAGACACTTGACCTACTCCTTTTGTTGTGCCCAGATTTCGAGGTCCCCAAAGACCACCAAGGAGCCGATTCTGATGTAAACACACGAGGGTCGTTTATTCAAGCTCCAGCAGGGACTCTCAACCGTCACCGCCGCAGCGGGTCAAGATTGAGAGCCCCGACTCCAAATCAGCAGGGGCTTTTATAGTGGTTACAGCAAGGTTCTAGATTGGCAATTAAACCTGATTGATTGTGCCTTGCGCACCCAAGCTGCAAACGGTTGCTAACTACTGATTAGCTGTTGCTAGGGGACGGCTGAACACTATCACATGCAGGTGGTCAAAATACATCTTGTGGTTTTTCTTAGAACTGAAATTTATGCCAGCAAATTTTAGAATGGAGTCACTTAGGTCTCACACTTTCTGAGGGCTAGTTGTTCTCTCTCTTCATCTGCAGAACAGAACCTCTTGCTCTTCTCTGTTCCTGCCCCATCTTGCTTCTTCTCTGGCTGCAAAAGAGGATCCCAACATGAGTCGACCTACCACTGCTGCTGACTGAACTTTGTAATTACAAAGATAATGCTTTTGGCATCTTGACTTGGGCTGAATGTTGCAGTCCTTGTTATTATAAAATAACCCTCGCGTCAGAACTTGCACATCAACCCTTCCATCTAGATGATTTTTTTTCCCTTTATAAAACAGGGTATTATCTACTATTCCCCCTTTCCACGAGAAAACAAGCTATTGTCTGTTGTGTGTAAAGACTGTGCTGTTGACAAAGGTATTTCCTGTGCTTGCTTTCTTATGAAAAACTTATTTGACTTGGCTTCACACTCCAATATCCTCAGCCTCAAGTCCTACAGATAGGAGGTGGATGAATCAAGGTCACACTTTGCAGGAAAGGGAAATGGAAGAGGGCTCACATGGCAAGGTTGCCTTTTCCAGAAGAAACTGTCCCTTACTGAGGTCTGACTCTGCTATCTCTATGATGCTGGTTCTCTCTATAGCACATCAGATGCAAAGCTTTGTTCCCTTTGCCCCAAGAAAGGGAATTCCTACAAGTCATGAATCAACCATAATAAAAAAATACCCTGCTTTGTAGAAAGGAAGTCCATCCTGTGGCCATGCCAAGCCCATACTTCTTTTTAATTTTTTTTTCTGGTACCAGGGATCAAACTCAGGACCTTGTGCTTGTGAGGCAGGTGCAACACCACTGAGCTAAATCCCCGGCCCTCCATACTTCTTTTTGTAGCAGAGCCCTAGATCTTTTTGTTTTCTTGAGTTCCACTGGGTTCCTAAGAGGCCAGAATATCCTTTCAAGGCCCTTATGATGGTTGTATTCTAATTTCCTGGCAGGGAACTCATGCAAAAAATGGCATGAGTTCCAACACCCGCTCTATCATGACAATGTGAATGATTAAGCAGACTTGTGTTTGAGGCATGTTCTTCATTAAAAGTAATTAAAGCTTGGCAAACATTTATTTTCAGATGATTCCACTTCTTTTGGGAGGTCAGTAATCAGTTACCAAAAATGAAAACACCTGCTTTTCTAACAGCATGGCTGCTGCCTGAAATTTAGTGGCCCATAACTTTCCTGAAGCTCTGACAGTCTATTGTGTCTAAGGGGAGTCGGGGGGCGGTTAGACTTACTGAAGGACTGAGTAACTACAGTGAATTTTGGGACACAAATCTGATTAAAACTTCTCCTAGGCCAACATGGTAAGAAATTGTTAGCTAATGCAGCCATGCATCACTTATTAAAAAATATAAAACTTGACAGTAACAAATGGTCATTTTCGTGGTAGAAAGCATGTCTCAAAGAAAACTCCCAATTTGAATTCTAATTAATGAATTAATATTGATCATACTCAGATTTGGGGAGTACATTATTTCCCACACTGTGAATGAACAAAGTTAGTATAATGTACAAAATTCACCACTGTAGGGTTTAAGAGTAGATAGCTGACTATATCAAGAGTTAAAAAGATGAGGCTATTAAGATATAAAACTGTTTAACAATGTATTTTTTTCAGGAGGATATTATATTGATTGCTTGATTGAGGTTCACTGTATTTCCTCAAATGCTTCCAAAGAAGGTTGTTAACAGCAACCCTGCCGTTCTGTACAAGGGCCCTTCTCACTTTGGAGATTCATGGCTCGAGATCGAGTGGGCAATGGAACCAGGACTCAGTATGGCGTACCCAGATGAGACTGTTCACAGCCTCATCCTGTCAGATCTCATCCAACTATGATTTCTCTCAACTCTCAAATGTCTGAGGGACATGCATCATTTTTAATTTATGATGACACAAGCTTCTGAGGTTTCAAGGGGAGACTCTTGGGCAGGAGGGGCTGAAAAGGGATCTGGCCTGGTATGGACCCTGCCCTCCTGTTAGGTCACAGCCCACACCCTCTGCCTCCTAGCCATGGCAGGGTACTAAAGGGAATTCCTCTCCCTGACTCCCGAACACAAATGCAAAGTTCACAGGTCTCGACTCTTTCCCACAGAGGAACATGTGTTTCTCTGGAAAGACCACACAGAAGAGTCAAGATCTCTCCTGTTGTTTCCAGAATCTGGCCTGCATTGGCAGTGCAGCCTGAGTCAAATTAGAGAACCATGGACACATTCGGCTGGAAGGAATTTAGATTGCCTTGCTGGTGCAGCAGAACCTCCAGGACTGCTCGTTAAAGCAGATTCCTGCGCCTCCCAGAGCCTCTGATTTAGTAGGTCTAGGGCAGAAAGATTCTGGCTTTTCTAGCAAACTTCCAAGGCATGCTGATTCACAGACCACACTTGAGTGGCGCTGGCCTCTGCTAAGTTGTCTTAAGATGGATCGGCAGGCTTCTGCTTACTAGTGAATATTTTAGGGCCTGCAGGACAATCAGCCTGTGTTGCAATGACACAATTCTGCCATTATAGTGTGAAAGTAGTCACGGACAATTGAAGGTAAATGGACGTGCTGTCTTTGGACAATCTGCATAAAAAACAGGTGGCTGTGGTCGGCTGACTCCTCTCTGTTAAGACTCACCAACTGGTTAGAGTCCTAGTTTACAGCTGAAAATTAAGAATATTTCTACTATTTTTCTCCATTCCTACAAGGAAATCCTATCAATTATGCACTCAGCAAAATTATCTTGTATCTGATTCTTTCAGTCCTTATTACTGGCTGTATAGTTTTGAATTACAAGAGATAGGACCAAAGGGGTAATTTAGGGACTTTCTTGATGTCCAAAAATAAAAGCACAGAACTGTCTGAATTAGTAGAAAAACTATTTAACAAGGTTCACCAGATGAAACTACAAAATATATGATGGCTTGGAAAAACAGCCTTTGTAAAGTGTTTTAAGGAAAAAACATTCTATAAACAAAGACGTACCCAAGAAGTTATATTATTTTTTATTCATGTTAGAATTTCTATCAGTGTTTGAACATTAATATTTAGAGAGTTTGTACATTTTTACCTTCCAAGGTATGAGAACCATACTAGGTCATGAATGGTAACTAAATGACATTTCACAATCACAGGAGCACCCACTTGCGCTCTCACTCTCTTAACACTGTTAGACATTTATTTTCCTGTTGTAATTTACAGTGAAAAGTGTCCCCACTTATGTCTCAGCAAAGTTCCAGACATTATGGATTCATCACATATAAATTCTTTAAAAATATACTTCTGTCAAAAGACTTGATGACTACTATGTACACTACAAAAATAAATTTTCATATAAATAAATTATATGGCATACTTTTATCTTTGTAATTGAAATGACACAAACTCATCTCCACCCAAATTGGCAGACAACAAGACCCAGTTTGAATATTTCCTTTAAACTCCTTACACTAAAACCTACTATGAGTCCTTAATGTAAATGTTATATACTCTGAACTATTTAACATTAGTAAGCACTCTATACATATAAAAATTCTGTTCAAAAGTAAAACATAGCTGTAATAGTGTTTCCAATAGAAATAAAATCCCTGCATTTTTGTTATAAACTGGCATGACAAATACTGTAGGAAAACATTCTTATGATACAAAATTATAAATATCAGCAAAGAATTTTTTAAAAAATTAAAACATCCAAATGAACAAAGACAGACAAATCTACAAAGGAGAGAGGCAGAGACAGGGAGACAGAGACAGAGAGAGACACTAGTTTCCCACCAGCCTGAGCCCTCCCTTGGCCACTGTGACCCATGGAAAGTTCTATTCTGTACAGAAACCATGGGGGCTCACAAGCTCAGCATGGGAAAGGAAGGGCACACCAGCAGCTGCAGGAAAGCTGGCTTTAGAACTCTGCATCTCTCCCTTCAACTCAAGACATGTTTTCTGAGCATAGTCTGTGTTATGCTGGCAGGCAGTGTGGCTGACAGGAAGGCACCAAGACAGTAGCAGCTGGATGGCCTGGGTCCCAGCATATTAACACATACACCTGGCACCACAGGTGGCTTCCGATTAGTACCTTACAGTGTTCGGTAAGTTTTAGGGTCTGAGGTTGCTAAACTGCTGGTATCACTGGGGGCCAGATGCCTTTCTCCTAAGATTTTCCTTGTAGCTGCCACAGAGTGCTCCTCACAGTGGCTGAAGCTCTAGTGGGCACTGGGTCCTTTTCTCTGAGACAAGTTGGCAGTGCATGCCCTGATGTCTGGCTACAGAGGTTAGGGAGCCCAGGCCACAGAGCAAGAGAACAGAATCCACACAGAAGCAACCTTTCAAAGTAATACCTGGTAGAGAAATCTGCCTCCATCTACATTCTTTCATGGGGTGTATGCAGTGAGCAGCTTTCTGCTCTTCAATAAATGTCACAGTGAAAGAACATGGAGAGGGGAAGGAGACCAAGTTTGACTTGTTCATGAAGTATGCACCTAACATGGACACAGTGAGAAGAATTCTCAGAGGCTCAGAGTCCACAGAACTTCTGATTCTGTATCACCGTGTCACAAGCTCACCATTCACGTTTTAAAGACATGAACAGATCCAGGCAGCCCCAACCAGCTGTTCAATTTAGAAAGAGAGGGAGTTTACATTGGAGGGACTCAGAACATCATCTCTGGGCTTACTGTGGGCCCAGAATAAACCCAACAAATTCTTCTACCTATAGCAGAGCTGTGTGTGTGTGTGTGTGTGTATCTCAGAGTATATATCCAGAGCATATTTCATGGCCCAGCAAGGACTCCCAACTCTGCATGTCAAAAATTCTCTACCACCAACGAGGGCTATCAGCTCTATACCCTGAGATTCCAACACCATCACAATGATGCCTGTGAAGGAACTTACTTTCTCTGAAGCACAAGGTGGGGAGTCTGGAGGGCAACCAATGACCTTCAGAGATACCACAGACAGGAAGCAAGTCTACTTGCTGTTGGACCATTTCCAGAGAAAGGGGCAAGTTGTTTGGGGGCTAGCCCTCCCCCAGCCCAGAGCCATAAAGACATCTTGATTCTTCCAGCCTGACTGGGTCAGAGCTTGCTAGGGTAAAAGACAGCAAGAAAAACAAACAAGACAAAAAAAAAATCACAGTACAGTACACTGGGAAATCACACGCAAGTTCACACACACAGCTAAACCAGAGAACCACATTCACTACCCCTAGAGAAGCCACTGGGTTTAACCTGCTTTCTTCGTCTCTGCACATTAAACAACAACAAAAATTATCACGCATAGCGTGTTTGAAAGTTAACAGTAACGTTTCATACTACCACAGGGTTGTGATATGCAAATTTAAAATATTTTAACAGAAACTTTACAAAATAATCCTATTACATAAGCAATATTTGCATAGAATTATACAGGTAAATTATACAATATTTAAGCAGCAGCAACATATGCTGGAAATTTCAGACTAAGTTAAGCTTGGTTGTGGCACAGAGCCCAATCAATGTACAGAGAGGGAGAGGCCCCCTTCCAGCTCCCAACTCGGGCTGGAGTGGGGGGACTCCAGGCCTTGCTACTTTACATCCTTTCCTCCTATATTACATATGTGTACATCTCTTAAATATTTATAGAAATATTTAACAAAATAATACAATCGGTTACAGTAACAATGAACTGCTCTTCTGGGCAGCACATCTTGTCCGAAACTCCAAGCAGTTCTCTTCAAGCAGTCCTGGAAAGAGGTGGGGGCGGGGTGGGGTGGGGGTTCCAATCTTTGGCCTCTTTGCTTCAGATTCAATCACCCTTTAAAAAAACAAAAAGGGAAGTTAGACTGAGTAAAAGGTACCTAAGTTCATATTTACAAAAACAAGCCACAGAAATTTATGGTGTTAGAAATCAATGGAGTAGGGGCTGGGAGGAGATGCAGGGCCCCCTTGAGCTGTGCACCTGACACATTCAGACAGTACCTGGCTCAGGAAGGCTTGACTTAGAGGGTTTCTCCCCTTTACAGTGGGCTTAAGTGGGCACTGAATGCATCTATTCTGATATTTTGGACTCACAAACTCACCCTCTTAAATGGAAGAGTGCCTGTGTACCTGCCATGATGCTGCAATGAATACTGGCACAGAGGTGACAAGTGACATGCTTGGGGTCTTTGTGAAACACATCAATCCTCAACAGGTTCGTGTTGTGTTGGGGCAGAAACCCACTCTGTAACCAGACTGGCTCCCCAAGATGTAGCTTGGACACAATGGCCTTGCTGTGGGGAGGAAAGGTCCCTGGGGTCCAGCCTGGCTCATACCACTGCCCTGGGCCCTTAATGACACATCCTGGAGGAGCCTTGCCCCGGGCAACTACACACCTCAGCCGGAGCTGCCTCCCCGGGGTCTTTCCTCGCAGTCCACGTCCTGCAGCTCTATGACTTCTACCTTCGAGTCCCTCCTCTCGCACCGGACATGAAAAGGTACGTGGGGGTCCTCAAATAGCCTGTGGTCAGTCTCAGGGTAGCCCTCATAACCTGGGCAGGGCCCCACTCGAGGGTTCCGCCCAGGCCCGGGCGGGGGGTGTACGGCCACTGTCACGGAAGCAGAAGCCGTCACCGTGGTGATGGGCTGGCAGTAGCCAGGCATGGTGCTGCCTGCGGCTGTGGGTGCTGGGTTCCGAGGTCGGGTCCCCCGGGGGCCAGCACGGTCCCTGTTGCTGGGGCCAGAGTGATCTTCAGTAGAAATTTCAAAAGCGTCTCTGCGCGGTCTGTAGGGAGGTGGCCGCAAGCCTTCTCTGGAGGGGTCCCTGTGGGGCTGCTGGCCTTGCTGTCCAGGGGGCAGGGACCCCGAGTCCAGGCAGGGATGAGGTCGAGGGATCGTGGGTGGGGGACGCCTTGATTTGGGGTGAACCACCTACAGAGAGCAAGGGCAGGTTAACACAGGTTGGCAGGGTGTGACCCCCAGGCTAGGCATGGTCTCCTCCATTCTACCCCTACTGCTTAGCTCTGACCAAGTACCCAAGTCAATACCAGGGATCCAAGAGGGGCCTTCTTCCACAAAAGAAAAACGAAGCCTACCCAGCAGCAAAGCAGGATGCTGGCAGGACTCTCTATGTGGCTATTTTAGTTTAAATTAGCTAAAACTCAGAATCCAGCTCCTTGCCCACACTAGCAACATCTCAAGCGCCCCTCTGCACTTGTACTGGAGGGCAGAGAGAGCATTTCTATCATCACAGAAAGGTCTGCCAGGCAGCGCTGCTGTTAGATCGTTAGGAATCTGGTTTCTGGGTCTCTGTACAAAGCATGAAGCAACACAGTGGCCACATCAATCAAAAGGACCGTGACCAACTTCAAAGTCGTTCAGCTTGTACCTATTTTTAGGCTCCTGCTGAACAAAACCAGATTCATAGTGCAGCTCAGCAGGCACCGTTGCAGGGGGCACAAGGGGGACAATTTAGGTTATTTGGTTGGCCCCTCTCTCTTTCATGCAAGGACTGCCGTGGCCCAGGACTGCAATACCCATTTCCTGGAAGGATGGCAGGGGGCCTCAGTGGAGCAACATGAGCCTCCGAACTGACCTCCCTTGGCTTTTCAGTGCTGAGCTCCCGCTTCAGGGGTGAGGTGGGGGGCATGCTGGGGAAGACAGGATGGAACAAATGGCCCCCAGGCTCCCCATGACCTCCCCGAATTACTGGAGGTAAGAACACAGGGGTGGTTCTCAGCGGCTCACAACTTCAGCCACCTGGAATAGGCACAAACGCTTATGGAAAAGTCTCAGATGATATTTAAATAACTTTGTTCCAAGGACAATCAATGGTAGGAGATTAAAAAATACTTCTGATGACATTAAAAATACCATTAAAAGTGTCATCCTCAAATGACATGCAACTTTAAAAAATTATAGAGAAAAAAGGAAATAATGCTTTATTTCTGACCCTTAAGCTCAAAGTGTACTTATCCCAAAAAAATATATGTTAATACTTTTATTTTTCTTGTGGTATGGGGAATTGAACCCAGGGCCTTGTACAGGCTAGGCAACTACTTGTACCTTAGGCCTACATGCTAATACTTGGCCCCTGCCCTGTTTTGATCCATGGGTTTGAACCATAAGATAGCATTTTTATAGCTTAAAAATCAAATACTATCAATTGTATGTGACTTGACCTGGCAGATACTTTCTTTTGGATCCTCCTATTGGTATGATTTGCTTTTTTAGAACAAGCAAGGAGTCCCCTGGACCACCCAGCCCACTGCCCACCCCCCCAGTGACTTACAGTGGAACGGGCAAAGACAGGGTTTTCTGTGGCTTCCACGATCACATGGTGGGCAGGGCCCCCTGTGCCCTGCTGAGCCTCATAGTGCCGAAGTTCCTCACTGATGCCTGACACAGTCGTCTGAGAACTGTACTCCGAGTCAGAGGAATCAGATCCATTGTTCATGTGACTGGGAGGTACTGCAAACCGGACCACACTTGGGGGTGGCTCAGGGGAAGGGGTGGGCAGCCGGTTTAGGCCGTTTGCTGGAGAGACCTATTAAGGGGATTCCATATTAAAATGTTATTGTCTATTTTCATGTTCAAAGTTCAAAACAGTTTTATTTGGGGGTCTCTGGCCCCTGTCCTGGAACCCCACATACTTCACTGCATTTTCTATCTACTCTCCACCACCTGGAGGACCCTGAGGTCCCACAGCCTTTGAGAAAGGGTTGACCTCTGCTTTTTCACACTGGAAAAGCAAAGTATGTATCCTCCATTCCCATTAAGCCTAAATATTCACTTTGAGTGAAAAGTCTGTCTTTATGTAAATCTGTAAGACTCAGGCTGATAATCAGATTTAAAACAAAGCAAAGCCAATTTTACATCCCTTAAAGCTATGGAAGAGAAAAAAAAGCCATCATTATTGTATGTTTACTGAAAAAGAAAATAATCAGCAAATGTACATATACATAAATACCTAAATTAAGAGTGGCACTTGGAGAAAGAGCATTCAGATGGCCTCTGGATAGGACATTACACCCAGCATAATTACTGACCTCAGGATATGGTCCAAAGAAAGACAAAAGGACCGGAAGCAAAACTAGTCCATTGAGAACACCCAGGATAGTGAGGATCGCCAGAACAGCAAAGAAATACCTTCAAGATAAAAGGGAAACAAGTAACATTCAGTGAGACAAAAGGAAATTATGCTACCCTTCCAGTGCCCAAATATTACAGCATTCAACACCCAAAATTAACAAGCCCACCCCACTGGAAGACGGTCATAAAACTACAGTTCGAATCAAATAGCACAAGATTAGCTTTTTTTTTTTTTACCTTATGACTGAGGACTACACAATCACACAACCCAAGTGTTAAGAGTTCATGAAGGGAAGAAAAAAATTAGTTTGTTAATTTGCTGAAATCTCATGGCATGTAGTGTTATTTATGAATGTGTTACACAAGGACAAAAATATGGAATGCGAACTGAATGGCTGAGCAAACTGAAAGTACAAATACAATGCCGAGGGGCCCTGCTCATGAAAACCCAGCAGAAGCAAACAAATGAAGTGAAGGGTGTAGAATTTAAACAATTTGGCCCAGGAGGAAAAGCAGCCCACTTCTTGCAGGCAGCTAATCCACTGTGAAATGCTTCGGCCTCTTTCGGCAGAATCTCTAATTAAGTTTCCAGTGTAGCAGGTAAGGCTTTCCCTGGACTTTCATTAATCACAACTTTCTGCCGAGAGTTCTGTGAGTTCCAGTTTTACCAACTAGCTCTAACTGCAACCCTTTTAGAACACAGGAACCAGCTTTCTGCAGAGAAAATGCTGGCCATTCTGCAGGGGCCACGGCATTGTGCTGGGCGAGAGCACTCCACAATGGTGGGGCTGCTCTGCAGGCCAATCTTTTGTTGAACAATTTAGCATCTCTGAATACTCTTGTTTTGCGTCAGCCAATTCAAACATAAAAGGCTGCAGCACCATGGCAGATGAGGAGAGTGCACACGGAGTTCTGCTTTCCCACCATTGAGGGCTAAGGTCTGGGATCCTTCACCGATACCAAGGTAAACCTGTCAGCCAGGGAAGTCCCCTATCAACATTCTGCATGGCTGGAGGGCCAAGACTCCACGCAAGGATGCTTTCTGGAACTAAAGATTTCTAGGCTTTGATGGAAGTGGGCTGGGGTGGGGGCAAGAGGCTCAGGATGTTCTGGGAAGAGGGAGGGCAAAATAGCAATCCGTTAATGGTCCGCTGGATCGTAAAATGGAACAGGCACCCAACTCGCCACATCTATATATGTTTCAACATTAGATGAGAGGAGAGAGAATCCCTATAAAAATACAAATACCTTACAGCTATTGTAAACACTAGAAACTTCTGAGCTGCATTAGTAAAAAAAAAACCAAGCAGCCCATGCCTTGGTCTAATGTAAACTGCTGGAAATTTCAGCCGAGGCATATATCAGTGGCAGGTATTAAGACATTTGCATCCCATCCATCTAACCGTAGCATAAACAGACCAATTAGATTTCTGACGGCTTTGTGTATACAATGCCTGCTCATTTATTCCATCTCAGTGAGGGCTCTATCAGGTTGATCCATCCTGGTTTAGAAAATGGGAAGCTTTTCTAAGTACTTGAAACAGGAACACTAATATCTTTGGGTGGCAACAAGCAGCCCAGGACTCAATGACAGAACTGGGGTTCTGCCTTCTAGGGTCCCAGCTGGATCCTCTAATTCAGTCTGAGTTCCTGTCCCGTGGCTCACACAAGATCCCCAGCCACACTTCTTATGGTATGGAACTGCTGTGACTTGCTACCCCCCCTACCCAGAGACCCTAGGCCACACAGAAGGGCAAAATGGAATGTGAGAGCTTTTCATTGCATCTAGGTTGAGCAGGAAAGTAATTACACAAAAGAAACTCTCAGGCATTGGGCTGTTATAGCGTAAAGAGACAATACTAACGTCTGAGGAAGTGTATACTGAGGAAAGTCAGTCAAATGTACAGCTTAAAGCAAAACAGGCCAAAATCTTCATCTAAGTCAGCTAACTATCTACTTTGTACTGGCAAACAAGAACTTATTAATTGGCTTGTGAATTTATTGAGTGTGATGGGAAGACTAGCTGGCTGGAAATGCAGATTCTGCTCTTCCCTCTCTCCCCAAGTTCCATCTGAATTTAAAGAATCTCAGATAATTCAGAAGTAGAAGCACTGTGTCTACACTGGAACAGCTATTCCCCTCTGTCCTGACTCCAGCCCAAAACCACAGTGAGTGAACTGTGGCATTCATTCCTGATAGGCTGGACCGCCAGGATGCTGATTGCCCAATGCGACAGGCTGATCAATAGACTGTTTGTTCCTGCAATAAACAAACTTTGGCTGGAACATCTAGCTAAAACCCTCTTTATCTGAAAATGAGAGCCCCTCCCCCCACAACACATATGCATTTGCATGCATATACATGGCAGTTCTATTAGATAATCTCTACACGGAAGTGCTTCTAAGGCAGTCATTTTTACACTGGGTTCTGCCCTACCATGTTCTAATTCTGCTCTATCTTTTACTTATTCAAGACTCTAGTCTTGCCTCTTCACAAGTGGTTATGTTATATCTAGGAGTAGCTATCTCACAAACACAGTAATGTACAGAACCTGGTTTCTTTCTCTACAGATCTCGAATTCTTTTCAGAAGCAATACCTGCTTCTTTTATAGTTCATGAAATCATATTCTTACTTAAATCAATGAAAAACTGCCTACTCTGAGATTCAAAGAAAAGTATCCACATGAGGCTTGGATTCGCAATGTTTGACACGAAAGTCAAATGGTAACTGCTCCCTAAATCTTAGTGGGGGATGCAAATATGAAATCTGAACATCCAACCTTCATTTCTTAAAAGATTAAAGTCTAAATGGCCACGTTGGATATTTGTAATTTTTTCTTTCTAAGGTTTTGAATGCAATGAGGCAAGGGACAAATATAGCCAATTCACAGGTATGGTGGTCACCTCTTCGTAAGTATTTCTATCCTGGGACACAACAGCTGGATACTGGGAGACTCAATAGCTTCAAGCTGTGGAGCTGCCTTTGTTCTCTATATTGTTCCCCACAATGGCTCTAGAAAAGAGCTTGTCTTTATTTCTCTTGGTATGAAAGAAAGCTGGGCAACAAGGAAAAGATGCAGCAATCTACCAGATATAGGAGGAAATAAGCCACAAAGATCACATAAGCTAAAACTCATGATTTTTAAAACAAGTCTACTCCCACACTCTTGCTTACCTGACAATGAAATCAAACTCAGACCCTGCAAGCATCAGTACTCCGAGCAGAGTAGACACAGCACCATCCAGAACAGGTGCAAACATGTGCTCTAAAGCGAGCATGGCCCTTCGGTTCTTGTCGCCAATGGCAGTGAGGAAGGCCTGTGTGAAAAGATGAGGTCATGGGGTCAGATTGTTGCACTAGATACAGTAAACGGTGTCTGAAATGCCGCAAGCTGCTAGTGTCTGTCTCTCTGAACTTCCTTCTCAGCTTTACACTGCTTAGCTCCTGGAATGTTTAGTTTGCAGGAGCTCAACTAGCTCAATCTAGTCTTAAACTACCTACCATGCTATTATTGGGTCATAATCAGCACTGATGTCATTCTTCAACAAAACCAAACCGTACCAAAACGTACAGACATGTTTTATTTCATTGCCGCCCTCCTTTATGACACCCGACCCATGCAAATTATCACACTATTCACATGGTGGTAGATCTCTAGTTGTGTACGTGCCAATATTCTGGCTAATGTTCTTCCAAAATGGGTTCTACTCTTTCCAGAACTAGGTTCAATATGAGTTAAACCATGTCACTCTATGCTGTATCCGGAGCACGATGCCCTAAGTTATGTCTATCCCACTATATCTAACTCAGATGTTACTGAAATCAGCAAGCCAACAGGAATCCATCTACTTCCTAAGGACTTTCACAGGACAGGCATCACCTTTGTTAAATTTTTCCTATCATGTTAGAATATTCTAAGAGTAATAACTGCCTATTTTAAACAGAATTCTATTTATAGCATAAGAACACTATATTCTGTGTATGGGCAGTTGCTCTTAGAAAAGCTCTGAACTAGAAGCAGCACAGGTTCAAGAATGTAGTTTTTATTTCCAGTGTAAAAATTTGTTCTAGAATGGCCTCGTTCACAATACTTGGTACCGAAAAGAGAAAAAGAATAAAAGGTGCTGGGGAGGAGACTTCCATTGACATCAGAATGAAATGATCTGTGGATTCTTAATTCACATACAAATTGTTCTCCTTTTTGAAAAAATTGGATTAGATTTTGTGCTAAGTTCTGGAGTGGCAGACTCTTCTTATCTCCTTTCTCCCAGCTCCGTGGGGAAAAAACTAATTTAGGTAATATTGTTTCTCTATTAACAGCATTACAATAACTTCAACAAAACATTCCTTCTGAAACATCCAACTTTATGTTTCAGTTGCATAATATTAGCCCCGAAAGACTATAGAAGGCACTGGCAGAAGCTTCTATGTAAACAGCACGTGCACGTGCTGAGCCCAGGGAGACTAAGGCTAGGTGACTGCAGAAGAAATCTGGTTCTAGTCCAACGTTAAGTTTCCTAGCTAGGGCACTCCAGATACCTGTATTTATTTAGCCATTACGCACTTATTGAACGCCTACTATTACCAATTGCTTAGGCTATAGGCATACCTGTCTGAATGGAACAGAATTTACATGCTGCTAGGAGGCTTCTGAATTAATTCTCTGACAAATGTATACAGTGGGCTTGTGTCGTGGATGAGAGATTGCTCCCGAAGTTTCATTTCTGCCAACAAAGCATTTACAGGAGAAGCCATCCAAAGAGAAGAAAAAATTTCTTTTGGAAGCAACACTAGTTGTCTTACTTTCTGCCGTCATGAATCTAGAAGCTGGGAGGTCCAAGAAGCTGGGTGGGCCAAGGTAGAAGAGCTAGCTCTTCAGGGCTGAGCACCTGAGCCTTCTCTCATGGCCAGAGGGGATTTTCTCATCTCACCACAATTATGCTCTTCCCACACGCCTGTGAGTGTGGTCTTGTTCATCCTTGCTTTATTACTGTTTTCAGAAATGACATGTATATATGCCCACCCACATTATCTTGGGAATGAAGCTGATAACTTTAGGAGCTAGGATGATACCAACAACAATCAGTCTCATCAATAAACAGAATCCTTCCTGGCCTACTCTACACACTGATAACACTGCCTAGGCTCACAGCTGAGGCTCCCCAGGAGGGAAAGGAATCTAGAATCGTTTCAGCCCCTTCTAGGGAACTTGTGCACTGGGAAGCATAGAGAAAATGAATAGATTCCTGCTGAACACTGAAGAACTACAAAAATGCTGCCTTTTCATCAGATTTTTGCTTAAAATATCTCCCATACCAAAGCCACGTGAACAGTGAATTCTACTCCAATGCCCACAGATGCAATCAAGATGACCACAGGCACAGCACTCAGCTTGATCCCAATGAGGCCCATCATGCCAAAGAGCTCCACTGTCATCAAAGCCAGGACCATCACCTGAAAGAAGACACAGAATGATTAGTGAGTGGACACAGCACACACTAGGGGTATAGACAATGGAGCAGTAAGTACTGTGGCCTCACGGCAGATTTAGATGAGGAAAACATCTGTGCTCCAAATAGCATAGAAGTACTGCACTGACTTGCTTTAGCTTTGGACAACTGTCCTTACTTCCTACTTCGACTTCCTGCTGGGAAAGGAGATTCGGGGATGGTCACTTTGTAATGTTCATGAAGAAATGTATTAAGGCAAAGTTTAGTAATCTCATGCAAATGGTTTTCCCAATATACCTGCCCAAATAAGTAAAAAACTTCATCAAGGCAAACAACAAAGAATTATATAGTCATGGACTCATTACTTTGCTACAATTTTAAAATTTTACACAGTTGGCCTGCTCTATCCATGAACTATATCCATGGGTTCAATGAACTATGGATAGAAAATATTTGAGAAGCAATAATATTGCATCTCAACTGAACATGCATAGATTTTGTCCCTATTCCTTAAGTAATACAGAATAACTATGCAATTTACATTCTACTAGATACTAGGTAGGTACTACAGACAACTTAAAAGTACATAGGCGAAAATGTGTAATATGCAAACTGAAAGGACTTAAGCACCACAGAGTTTTGTTACCTACAGGGCTCCTGGAACCAATACCCAGAGAAAAATGCAGTTTTAAACCGTCTTTCCTTCTGTTTTGAACTTAAACCATCAGATCTTAATGTTTTAGTTCCAACTGAGTTGAAATGTTAAGAGTCCCTATCCTAAAGAAAGTGGATAGGATGTATCAAAGTGCTTGTTCTGCTTTTGCTGGAGATCCACAGGCTATGTAAAGATGATTTGGGAGCAGGATAGGGGAGGCTATCATCAGCTGACATGTGTTGGGTTACTGGGCCACTGCACTTTTGAAGAGATGAAGGAGACAAAGCAGACCCTGAAGTCCAAGAGACGGTTTCCATTAGCCTTTCATCTTCCTTGTAAAAATTTGAGGAAACGGAAAAGAAAATATGTGAGGGTAGACTTTGGAGTTTCTTGGGCCAAGGAGAATAAAATACAAATAAAACTCCCCAATCTATACAGATAGAAGACAGAGAGAAAAAGATCATTTTTTTCTCAGAGGGTGGGTTAGTGGTGGGGGTCAGGAAGAATAATGAAAGATGGACAATGTCCATGGCTTAAGTACTTTGAAAAACTCGTGCAGACTAAACATTTACCTTTTAATGTACCTGCTGCTGCCCAGACTTATGATATAGAAACAAAACCTAGTCTCTGTTTTCTTAATTTTGGCATTTTAAAAGGCTATACCACAGTGCATGGAATTTAAGTGTTCCCATGATTTTATGAGACCTTACATAAAACTCACTCCAAATTGGAGGGTAATGTAGAGTCAGTAGTATTAGCTTATGATTTTCTCCCAGGACTTAACACATACCACCGCGACTTCTAAAGCCATTTTATCCCACTGAGGACCACTATCACTTTTCCAGGCATCTCTCCATGTTAAATGTAGAGAAGAACCTTCTACCTATTATGAGGTCAGAGATGATGTCACAAAGTGGTACTTCTGAATTAGAAAAAATTATTTGGCCATACACTTTTATTTAACAGATGGTCAGAGCCGCTACTACAGAAAATGTACTTGAAAAGTTCCCTGTCTTGTACACACATTTAAAGCTTTATTTTAGGGGACACAAGGCTATAGCTATTAGAAGCTCTACCTTCACCATGAACCTCACCACCTCTAGCAGAATAAATATACTATGGGTGATGCAATCTATACCCTCCTCCAAAGGCCCAGACATAAACAAAACTTCCCGGCTGCAGAAAGAGCTATGCTGAAAGGAATTTGCCTGACACAAAGACCCTTAAAGAAACTCACAATGATCCCAGCTGTCCAGGGGTTCAGCAGGAAGAGCGCGCACACCAGGAACGTGCAGGCCAGCACCACACTGATGGCCAGCAGCAGCCAGTGGCGCAGGCTGATGTACTGTTCCCAGAAGAGGAAGGGGTAGCCATTGGGGTAGCTTGAAAGCCCCAGGCTTGTGTAGTTGTTGCAGATGGTTCGCACTTTTTCAATGGCTTCCACAAAGTCTGAGGTGTCTTGCAAGCCGTTGAGGTAGAAAGGGAACTGGGCGTACTCGATGGGTTCGGCCACTGGAACTGCGTAGAGAAGATACCAAATTAAGAGAGGTCCTGGGAAGCGAGGAAAGAAGAACCTCCTCACTTCAACCTCACAGGTGCCACAAGGAGAGAAAGGAGCTTTATAAGAAAGCTCAACTATTACCCTTCCTTAGACACAAAGGAGAAACAATAGTCTTTACAATTTTCAGACAATCATCAACCTCCATTTCTTTAGGGGGGTGAGTTGGGAAGGGGGAAGAAGCCTGTGTTTGTGCATTTTTTGAAACCTTTAATTTTAATCTTTCAGAAGTACTCTCTCTGTGAAGGGCCTAAACCCCTGAAAATGTACATTTTGGGAACCCTTTTTGTTCCAGTGACACATGTGAAAATACTAGGTTCAAACTGGTTTCCTCAATTGCTTTTGGGAGCACAATAATCCCAGAGTCATGCTTTGCACGAAAAATGCTTTTACTGATCTAACCAACTTAAACCTTGCCTGCTTCTTTTCTAATGCAATGCTAAATCTCAGCAACAGGGAATGAAATCCTTATACAACAAGTGTTTAGTCACTGCCGTTGTGTGTTCCAGACCCTTTGGGGTCATTCAGTTGACTTGCTAAACATGATTTGCCCTATTATAATCTCAACTATAAATTTTCATTAAGACAAGCTTTGGCTGCTTGCCACCAGGCTCTGGGGTTTAGATACAGAGAAGCACAACTGCCGGCTCCCCAGCCAGGTCTGCCAAGGGACCCGTCTTCTTTCTCACGTCCTCTCTTGGCCCAATATCCAAATACTAGTATCTCTAACATAAATGCAAATTAAATCCACACAGAACCACCTTTCAAACTTTGGCCTGAGAAGTGAAAGAGGAGGACACTGTTGTATACAGACTTTTCTGCTCTGATTTAAACAGCTTTGACAAAGTACAGGTGCTTGGTGGCTTACAGGAATGACCCAACGTGCCAAAAATCCCTTCAGCACCAGAGTTGACAAAGTTAAGATAAACATATAATCCCCAGCGATAAAACCTTGCAATTGTAAAATAACACTCAACCTGGAGGCGCCCCTGACTTTCACAGGGAACAGCTGGCATGAGGAACGTCTTAAGAGTTAAGCTACAAAAGGAGATTAGAGACTCTTATTTCTCAAAGTGATAGCACACAGGGTTGTATTCCATTACACATCCTCATCTGTCTCCCAGGGTTTTAAACTAAAAGAAATATATTGTTCTATTTACACTTTTGAACCCTGGGTTAGTGTCAATGGACTGGGCTGTGGCTAAGCTCTGAAGAACAGGCTAAGGCACCCCTGTAAGCTCCCAGTCCCTATGGGTGGAGTGCTACTTACTTCTCAGCCTTGTTTCTGGCATGTAGTCCGCTTTGTCGTGAACCCACTCTGGTCGGTGGGGTCGGATGTTGGCCTGGGAGGCAGCATAAGCAACAGGGTCATTGCTGACCCAAGCCGTCAGGTAGATGTAGAAAGCGCTGGGATTAATGATGCCATCTGCATCCACCAGACGCTGTTTAGTCAACTACAAAATGGGAAGAACAGGTCTTTCAGAATGAGGTATGGGGTAAACACTACTGCTTTTTTGCATCCCCATTTCCAACAGAGAAGAGAATGCCCATAGCTTGAAAGTGTCTCGAAACCCCTCTGAACACCTTTGATTTCTTCCAAAACGCATTTATTGGAGGGTGCAATTGCTGGTGTTTATAACAAACATAAGCTTCTCTGCAGATGGCCCAGGAACTGGCTGAGCCAATTAAATCTGAATGCTAAAAGACCTTCTGTAGCCAAGGCGGGGAATGAACAATCTGGAGAAACATATTTATAGGAGGGGAAGAGGGGAAAAAACCTGGCAAGAATCCCCACCCACGTCTGGGTGCAGTTAACCTCTGTTGTTAACACTGAAGGAAATGCCACCCAGTAAATGGAGGAGAGCTATAAAAATAAAACAACATCTGTATAAATTTTGCTAACACTAGCCTCCTATGACCTGTGTATTAAGAAAATGTCCTTTTCCAGAAAAATGGAAGAGACTAATACACAGCCATGGCCTTTCTGGGTAATCTTATTTCTGAAAGGTGGGCAGACTCAGCAAGCCAAGTCTTTTGCATGGCCAAATGGGCTCCCTCCTCTCCAGTAGATCTCGTGGGCTTTGCTTAGGTCAAAGACACTGAGACTGGGTTGTGCCTGTATGTGTATGTTAGAATAGATTGAAAAAAATTTTTTCCTGTTTACTTTAGATTTGGGACTTGTTCCAACACTTTTGGTCTTTTTTAACAAAATGAAAAACACCAGTGACAGCAGCGCATAGAGAAAGAGTGAAGGAAGAAAGAGTATGAAGGCAGGGAGAGAACTTGACTTCAGGGATCTGGATTCAATTAATCCACAGGATACATAACAACTGTATGTCTTCAAACAGTCTCAGGAATTACATACTATAGCTCACGGCCTCCGTGCATGCAGCCTGCTTTGCTCCCTCCCAGGCAGAGGAAATGATATGGGGGGTCTGACCTAATCACATTTGTCCCAGAGTGCTCCTGGTCCCCAACTCCACCCCCGCTCCCTAGGCACACAGGCAGGCTCCTCTGCCCAAGCCCTTGTCAAAACTGACAACCCCCTGCACTGCTGCTGTAAAGCACTGAGTTTCACACCCCATAATAACTCTGAACAATGTACTTTGTAATTTTGCCAAAAAAGCGGAAGACAATAACAGAGCTGCTAAGAAGATCATTAGCATGACGCTTTTTGCCTAAAGGTAAATAAAGCAAGTGAGCTGCAAAGAGCAGAGGGAAGAAGCTCTGGGGAAGCCAGGAGTCAACCTGGACCCATCTGAAATCTGCAGAGTCCAAACGTACTCTTAAATATGCCCGGAATCAAAAGGGGTATGCTTTTATTATACGGGGAAGTGGGGAGGATGGTGAGGCCATGTGGGTTCCAAGGATCTGCACGTCACAGCTTGTCCAACTCATGACATAGCAATCTGTCTGTACTTAGTGTCCACCCTTTCGGCTAACCCAAAAGAACTGTGGGCCAGGGATTTAGCTCAGTGGTTCTGCTTGCCTTGAAAGCACAAGGTCCTAACCTCGATCCCCGATACCAAAAAAAAGTACTGATACAAATCCTCCATTCTAGTAACCTCTCCTGAGCCATCCACATCAAACTTGCCTCTGCTCATTCAAATGACTTGCGACACAACAAACACAATACAACCAAGACCATCATGGTTTAGAATCTGAAAGGCTGTAACAAGACAGCACTTCCATATCCGAAAAAATCCTGCATTATATCCAGATTGCCACTGCACTGCTCCAGCTGTTTCTGGAGCCCAGGATAACACTTGTTCCCATTTGACAGAAGAGGAAAGTGAGGGTCCCTGGCTTGTCTGAGGTTACACAACTAGCTGGTGGGAGGAAGTAAATTAGCCCCAACTCAAGATTCTTCCTACCAGATCCTCATGCCTCCTGTTCCTGGAGAGCACAGGCTGGGATCAAATGCTGTTAAATCCATCTTCCTTCCATATTGCAGCTCCCCCAAATTCTGCCCAACTGTACCCGGAAAGACCGCTCTGGAGTTTCTGAGCAGGGAGAATACCTGGCTGATGTCGATGGGTTTATCCCGGCTGCCAGTTTGCACTAGGAGTTTGTAGGCAAGGACCCCATCATCTGATCCATTTTTGTAGTTGTTTGGCATGATTTTCCCAGTTTCCCAGTCATTGTCAAATGCATCCTGAAGTCCTAGAAGAGGCAAATGTGTGTAATGCATTACAGTTCTTTACCAGAAGGAACAGGTCCTAATGGGGGAACTGTGAACAGGAAGGCAGGACAAGGACTACTGGACTTTGGATGAATGAACCGATCACTAATAATCTTTGCTCAAATCAGAGAAGGAAATAAATATACAGATTTTACTTTTAAAATAACGGTCACACTTCTCTTTTCCCATAACTATTCCAATGAGAGAAAGCAAGAGAGTAGAAAAAGACACACACCAGATTCAACCACTTCATACCCCTTGGAAAGCTACGTCATGGGTTCTTCAATACAACCAAAAATTCCACTTACAGGGGCAAAGACACATTTGAGCTCCCAACTTCAAACAGCAACTCAACTGCTTCTGGAGCTCAGGGTGAGCAAACATGATTCTGTCAATTTGATCCATCTGTTCGACTTGAGGAGCTAATGCAAGCTGTGGGATCCGCTGCCAGGTTGTGTAAAGATCACAGCCAACACCTATTCACTCCTGCTCACTCTCTTCCTCCCTACCACCCTTTTCTCCAAGTGGGGGTGCAGAAGAGAGGAGGGAGGGACCCTGTGCACACACAGGGAAATACCTCACAGAGTAAATTTGGATCAGATTGAGAACAGGAAGCCACAGGCCAATACAAGGAGGCTCTGTGAGAAGAGATGACAAACCGCAGCCTGGGGAAGGAAAAAGCTCTCTGGGCTTGGGGGACGGGCGAGCCCACCCGCCCCACACAGCTGCTCTTGGCCTCTGTAATCAAAACCATCATTACAGACCTGACGGTTTGGCTGCAGCTGTAAAGAGATAAGCGTGTTGGAAGAGAAAACAGGGCCCTGGTGACCCGGCCTTAGGGTCTGAGTGCCGGCTGGCGGCACACTCTCCCTGACAGCCCCAGCCTGGCCCTCCCCAGTCACCTCCCAAGTAGAACTCCCAAGCCCAGCATCCAGGAAGCCACCGCTTCTGAACAGGCCATGCATGTGCACGGGTTAAGGATGACTGGTGAGAAGGGAAAAGGGTTTGTTTCATTTCAAGACATGCCCTGGGTGATTTAAAATATAAATATATATATTTATATATATTAAGTTCTTCGAAGTTTAGGTAGGGGAATACTGGGGCACAGACTCCTTTTCCTTTTTCTCTCTTTTTTTTTAGAAAAATGAAACCCTCCTTCCAACCTTGAACAATTTAGGGGTGAGGACAGTGGGATCCTCAGTGGAAGGAGGCCCCACTGCAGGGTGGGTGTGGCACAGGCAGGCAGAGGAGACCACCAGGATGACCGCCCTCCCAACCCTCAGACAGCCTGTTTTTCATAGTGAGGCATGGACATAGTGGTACGGAACAGATGTTATTTTATGACCTAAAGCTCTTTTTTTTCCTTCTGGTTTTGAAAAAAATAAACAGGACAGGAAAAAAAAATTGCTCCACCCTCCATACCCGCTATAAAAGCCTGGTATGTTTCTGAACCATAGTAGAATTTTCATCACTTCAGATGTTTATGGTACTTAAGGTACCATCTTGACCTGCAGCAACCCATGATTAGTGGGCACTGGGCACCTTGTAAGTAGCCTTGTTATCATCAGCTCCACTTTACAAATGAAGACATGCAGGTAAGTGTTGGAGCGAAGCTCTGAACCCAGGCAGCCCAAATCTATGATTGGCTTGAACCACTCAGTGCTGGAAACTGTCTCAAACACACTGTAGTATCCAGACATATTCACATGAATTAAAATGAACAGAATGAACTCTGGTACCATCAACATCTGGTGGGAAATGGAGGTCCCCAAACTCGGAGTGCTTGTTTTGGATATATTTACACGCCAAGACTTTTGAGGTATGGAAATCAAGGAAGAAAAAGCAGGTTTGAGGTCACCATGCTGGTCCCTGAGGTGCTGCTCAGTCTATTAGGGGTTCAAAGATATAAGACATGGTCACTGACTTTATGGACAGTTAAATCTGCCTATAATTTAATACTTTCTAACCAATTACTGAAAAGCCTAAGTAGCAGTGGGCTGGCTTTGGTGCATGCACAATATATGACCCTAGATACAAGGCAAAGGACAAGTTGCTTCTAGTGCCTCATAACCAACATTTTATATTCCAGTAAATGCACACTGTAGGAAAGAACTGTGACATTTTAAACTAAAAATTATTTTCTCTGTACATAAAGTTCTGGGGTAAAGAAATTAACCTAGTATACTGGACCTTAAAAGAAAAAGCCCAAATTTCATTGTATAATTCAATATGAAGTAAAAAGCACCATTTATACATGATGTACAGTATGTTTTTTCTCTAACTTCACCTTATTTATATGTATGTTTAAGAATGACAATTTCTAAATTAACCATTATATATTTCTGGAGTGAAAAAAAAGAACTACTGAAATGTTGACAAAAACTAACAGGAGGCAACTAATGGCAAAGCTAATGGAAATACCATTAAAAAATCGAGACTTCCATCATTTAAAAACCACATAAAAATATTTGGAAGAAAAACTAACTCAACAATAATTGCTTCCTAGAAGGAAATGTTCAGAGGCCAAATCAACTACTCAATAGGCCTGAAAATGTCTAAGCAGCCAATACCTGGTCATTTTGTGCACAGTGCTCTGTTGGACCTTGTAAGGGTCAGAGTTCCAGGGCTGGTTGGGACCCTTACTTGTCTGTGTGTATTGATTTAACTTGGTCTAATTTAACAATCAAAACATGATTCAAACACACTTTTAATAAAAAAAAATTCTCAAAACTGAATGCTTTGGGTCTTAAAGAAATAAAATACCCTCTAACTAAGGCTAACCCTTTGCAGTGCCTAGAGACGATAACCCTGGCCCCTGTCCCAACCTCAGCCTAACATGCCATATGAGCATCCAAAGCAGAGGCTGGAGACAATGGAACACACGCTACAATAACCCTCCTCTGCTCAGAGGTTGGCAGAGCACAGCAGATCTCTTTGTCACTCCTGGCCAATTATTTGCATGTCTTTGGTCAATGGGGGAACAAAATGAAAAGCAGGGAATCTCTCCACTGGTTTTCTTTGGACTCCTTATGCAAAAAGCACCGCCTTTAGAACTAAGTGTCAAAAAATGAGACTTGGAATAAATTTAAGTTACTCTTATGAACACGTTAAAAAGTAATAACCATGTCAGCTTTACCCTTCTCCAAAATAAAAATCAAATCTGGTGTACATGTAGGAACAAAATCTCAGTAATCCAAGTCAGAGCCAGAATCAGTACTGAACCAATTTCAATCAAATTCAAGTTGTTTCGTGCAAATTCAATAGGAAACTGGCCACCTAATCTTTACATAAAAGTGTATTGACTTAAGAGCAAAAAAGGGGGGCACTTAAATCTGTGTTTAAACAAGCCTAATTAAGTGGGAAATTAAGACAATCACTGGATAATCTAAGCCAAAAAATGCTGAGGCCATAATTATTTGGGTATTCCAGTAAATGCATTTTTGCTTGAATTGTGTGGATAATTATCCTGATTCCCTACTTCTTTCTGCATGTGTCAACACAGAGTAAATGAACAGATGTTCTTGAAATCACTGAATACATTTATATTCAATCAGCTAGCAGTTGGGAGAGCAAATTTAGACATTTTTTTTTCCCTACAGTTAACCAGTATTTCCCAGAAATGCTTCTGAGACCGAGAAGCCAAGAAAGGCATTTTAAAGCAGATTTTGATTATTTATAAATAGTGTGCAATCTGATTAAGGATTTGAAAGTTTAATTCATTCACCAAATCATGGTCACAAGGAGCCCTGATGTAAATCGCACTTTGGGTGTCAATACAGGTTCATCAGCTCGAACAAATCCACCACTCTGGTGGGGGTGTCGACAGGGGAGGCTGTGAATGTGGAGAATGACACAAGAAATCTGTTCCTTCCACTTAAATTTCTGGGAACTCAAAGCTGCTGTAAAAGTCTATTAAAAAAGTAAATAAAACAGATACAGAATTTGAATTATATCCACAGCTGATTCAAAATCTCCTGGTGAGGGCTGGGGATTTAGCTCTGTGGTTCTCCCGCCTGCATCACAAGTGCAAGGTCCCGAGTTCGATCTCTGGTACCAAAAAAAGCAAACAAAATCTCCTGGTGAAACAGCCTATATAATTTGGCAGCAAGTCAGCCTAGAGATCCCATCAATTACTTTGGTTTCACTTGGTCACTGAAGTAGTCACCCTCCAAAAGGAAAGAGCAATGGAAGCAACCAGGATCTGTATTTTATAACGTACCTTCCTTTTGCCTAATGTATACTCAAATTCTTACAGAAGTTCCTGAGTCACATCACTTGGACTATTTTCGTGGTTTCACAGGTAAAAATGACATATGACAGGCTGCTGGAGAAATAATCTGTAAGAATGGCAACCCTTAGAAGTCCATGAACTATTCGAGTGTTACACTCTAAACAATGAACAACAGAGACCTAGAGAGGCGAACATACCACAGAGCAAAGTTGATGCTTACAAAGGATGATGGCCCCATAGCAGCATCTTACCTTGCAGCCAGTCTCTAAAGTAGTGTAGCCACATTTTAGGAAGCTGTTTGTTTTCTTCCAACAGGACATACTTCACATTACTGAAACTCTTGTGAAGGTCGTAAAGTAAGTGCTGGATATTCGGGTAGTCTGCTTTCTGGGTGACTATATACATATTGTAGAAAGAAAAGTATTTGAATTGTGCAGCAATAAAGTCATATTCTCTGGTTTCCCGAGGGACAATGTCTGTAAGGTCCAGCCCGTCTCTTACTCGAGTGGTCCCATAAAGGCTGACCCCAAGCAAGCCCAGGAAAAGGAAGATCACCACGACCTGCAAAGGGCAAGAGGCATGAGGTCAGACCCAAAGGATCACAAGACTCTTTCTTGATAAACGCCAGCTGTTTATACCTTCTTTTACTACCATGCTGGCCCAGACTTAGCATGTGGGAGCCATTCTCTCAACGGGAGAAACATAAAAATCATAGTAATGGCAATTCTAAATAACTTCATGAAAAATGACAATGTTTACAATGTGAGTCAATCTAAATTCAGACTCACTACAATGAGATTCCCTCCTTAGAAGATGAGCTCATTTAAATAAACCCCAAGCTTTGGTTGGATTCACTTTTAGAGGCCTAAAATCAGCAGAACATACCCTGTAAAATAGCAGAAAATATCCAATCTCCTGTCCTCAGGTCAATGCAATGCATGCACAAATCCATGCACACTTTCAAAATTTTTTTTGGCATGGCAAAAGACAAAGTAGAATCTGACAAATCTTGGAGGAGCTGGCCCTGTCATATTTTGAGGGGACGGGGAGAATTCTACATTGTAGTGGATTACCTTGGCTTTGGGTTTCAGGAGGAAAGGGGCATAGTGCTTCTCGGCAAAGGATGAGAGCGTCCACTTGGTGCAGGGAGGCTCAAGGCAGTGGAGGCTGGAGTCCGAGAACTGGGAGAGCAGGTCCCTGGTGGAGCTGGTGCTCTCGGGGCTCTGGCAGCTCAGGGTGTCCTGGGTGACAGTGACAGGCTGCACAGAGATCTCGGAGCGTGGCTCGGCGGTGGTGTAGTACACGTGCGTGTGTGGGTCGTACTCGGTGCGAAGCTGGACCGTGGACTGCATGGTGATGTGTGTTTCGTGGGCAAAGCTGTGGCTGCTGTAGGGGGGTGGGGGGCTGTAGCGCGTGGCACTGTGTGCCTCTGTGTAGGCCTGAGGTTCAACCTGGATCACTCTGCTGACGCAGGGGCTGGAAGGAGGAAAACATACTGCAGACCATGCTATCACAGGGGAATGGCTTTCATTTAGCTCTGAGAATGTCACCTGACTGATCCTGACACTGACCTAACAGAGTCCAAGGATTCATCCTAAATCTCCCTTTCATGATGACGAACCTCTGTCAAAGATTAATTCCAAAAATTAAGAAAAACCCCCCAGAGAAACCCACCGTTCTATGCTTTTTCTAGATGGGTGGTTTTCAATTTTGTTCTTCCCTAATAAATAGAGCTATGAAAACTCCCACTGAATGGCACAATTGGTTCATGATGGAAACAGCTGTGGAAATCAGAAACTTGAGGGTTGAGAACGTTGTGGGAGGGGGTCAGGTATCCCCTTGGGGGAAGTATCCTCTGTCCACATCTCCACTAGCTCCATCACACCAGTCCAAACCCTGTTACAATATATTCTCTTTTAAATCCACAGATGGGAAGAGTTCTCTCAACAGTACCACCAGTAAAAGCCATAGCCACCTGAAAATGTACCTTGTAAAACAGCAGAAAATATCCAATCTCCTGTCCTCACGTCGATATAAATCCATGCTGAGAATTGCAGGAAAAATGAGCAGCACCATGGCAAAATTGAAGACCACCACAACTGCAGCCTGAGACCAGGGAAAAAAATTCAAGGTCACAAAACTGCTTTGAAAATGAAGATGCTTCTGAACAGTATGTTTCTGTGAATATTGTCCTGAAGCATTTGAAGTAGATTTGGATTTTCTTATCATTTTGTTTCTCTTCCATCAAGAAACTATTTGACTAAAATAGGTTCCTATTATTCAGATCCTTTCCATCTCTAATAATTCCAGGAACCCAGAAAGTACACAGGATCTTTACTACAAGTGTCTTGCTAATCACCTAACCAAACCGAATCTATAAAGGCAGAACAGAAAATGTACTTGAGATGTTTTATTTCAAAACAAAAAGAAACATGTCCCTTCTAGAACATTTGTAAGGGTTCATGCAGCCCTGATTTTACACTGAAAAATTTGTATATAAAGTGGATTGAGTATATCAAAATGTCACCTTTAAAGCATGAAATAAAATTTCACACATCTCCCCTGAGGTTTTTAATAGGCACATTCCAAATAGCCTCAGGAGTAGCCTGTGGAGTGTGCGAGAGAGTTACAGCAAAGGTCAAGGAGAGTTAAGCAGAAAGAAATTCCTGTGTGTGATTATAGTCTGCAGAATAAATAAGTACAGATTCAAAAGTCACTCCATAACCTAGAATAAACACGGGGCTAGATTCTGCAGTGCTTTGGCAAATCTCCTGCTGACCTAGTAAAAATTACAAAATTGGGCTGTTAATAGAGGAAGTCAACAGAGACAGCTGAAAGGGCTATCCCTGCTCAGAAAAGCAGAAGAAGCAGAAAAGAAAAATGGAACTGGAAAGTTAAGTAGCTAAGAAATCAAAAATTAACTCATAGGAGGTTTTCCAAAGAATCGCTTTTGAGACTTTCTGGAATGGAGGAAGCAAATCAGGTTGAGGGAAGAAAGTCTGGGTCTCACTGGTATCTAACAAAAATCAAGGGAGAACTTCACAAAAGGCTACTGAAATGAATGAATTAATCTATTGTCCAGGTGAAATAGCAAGCCCAAGTTCTGAAAAGATGCCTTTCAATAGTGAAATCCCTATCAAGTCTACAAAACCATAAAATAACAGAGTCTCTACCTAAAAATAAAGTTTTATCTTGAAAATACCTCAATTCCAAATGACAAGAGAATGTTAACTTGCCCCTCTAATGCATGCAAGGCACTTTAGAGATCTGTCTGATAGGCCTGTGTGAATAAGCATGTCAGAATCTAAGGGACATATACTTTTCTTTCTGAAGTCTGGTCCTGTGCTGATTACAAAGATAAATAGGATAAATGCCAGCTCTTAAGGGTGGACATAGTTGGGGCTACAAATTACAATTCAGGTTGATAAACGTAGGAAGAAAAGCATGTACCACTTCCCAGAGCAGGTAAGAGGGACAGAGGAAGGATTCCATGGTAGACAGTTCTGCTAGATTGAGAAGATGACAAAAGCATAAGACAGGAACAGGGAAAGGAGATGCACATGGAGGAAATCGGACAGGCTGTTGAGGAGAGGCACACCTGGCTTGAGTCACTCTACAGAGGAGCACTGATGGAGAACAGGTAGCTAACACATGACTCAATCACCATGGTAACATTCTTACTGGCTTGACCAAGACACTATCAACTAAGAGACCCCAGACCTTAGCATTGCCTGCCTGAGGTTATCCAGTAAACCAGATTCAAAGCCCCAGCCCAACTGAGATGTAGGAGTTCTCATCAGATCTGCTCACTTCCTGAAGATGCATTCGGACTATGTCTAGGAAGAACAGGTTGACACTAAAGGTGCTTTTTCATGAAAACTGTCATTTGGAAGCTGAACATTTTCAGCTTTTAAAAATACAGTCATGTTTAGAATTCAAAAGTAGGATTTAGAGAATAAATTCTGGGTACCTCACTCTGAGCATAAGTTCATGTGAATGAGGGCAGAATCTGAAATGCAAAGCCACACAAGCGCATATACGTAGCCTGGGTGCTGACCACAGCTCAACACTGTGGGTCTCTATGGTGGCTGGGGACTCTTTTGATACCAGGGCTTACCAATCACAGAAATCTTACAGGCACCTTGCTCTGTTCTGAGATGGAAATGGAGAGCTAAGAAAAGATCCCCAATGTAGCACTAACCTAAGTCACTTTTCTAATGACATTTAAAGGGAGGAACATTTCTGAAATGTCCCCCAGTGTGTGCAAAATAGTAAAACAGCAGGAATTCTCAGTAAAAGAGAAGGGTCACTGTAGAGGCAAACTGTTTTTTTAAGAAAACGGAATTTAAGGAAACCAGAAAAGATAATAGGAATGTACTTGCACTGTGAATCAATTCTGGTTACTGTGCCTAAAGAAATGTCCCCATCCCTACACAGGAGGACCTTGCTGGAACACACACAGGGGGACCCAGGTTCAAGTCCTTGTATCCCTGATTGACCAGGGGTCCTGTTCTAGGAGCGTTCACAGAAGAACCAACACCGCTGCGTTACCAACGCTGTCCTGCCGTGAGACGATCGCACGGCCCAAAGAAACTACAGATGGTGCCAAAGCTTCCTGGTCCAGAGGTGGTGTGTGGACAGATGGGTGAAGGTCAAGAAGGTTTAAAACAGCTTTTCTGTTTTGTCTTGGTGATGCTGGGAATCAAACCCAGGGCCTCACACATGCCATGAAAGTGCTCTACCTCTGAAGTACATGCTTGGCCCCTAAATTTCTTTCAGGGGAAACATCTATCTGAAGGTCACATAGGGTTAACGATTGAACAGAAACAGTCTGGGTGTCTCCCTTGGTTCCTTTATGTGAAGGACCCTGCAAATATAAACGTAAATGAATATCCAGAATCACAGCCTGACACATGTCACTAAATGAAAAAGCTACAAAATGGTCAATTTTGAATGTCAATACATTTGAAAGGGAATGGGGTAAAATTTCCGATGGCCACTGCAAAAAATATTGTATATTCTCCTTCTCTTTTCCTTTTAGCTTCCATTTTCTTTCTTTCTCTTCTGTTTTTCTTTTTCTTTTTAAGAGAGGAGCCAGAGTGTCATGGGAAGCCATTCTTTAATAATAAACCTTCTTGGATACTATGGTTGCAATTTTCTAATGCTGATAGTGACTAGAGGCACAAAATCAACAGTACTCCTTTTGTCTCTGTAAAGTGCTTACCTTGGGAGAACTTAGAGTAAGTAAAACTCATGTAGCTTTTCAGACCACCACACCATGGGATATCATAAAAGAAGAGTTTTCCTTGATGAATCATCAGTATGTACTGAGAGAAGACAGGGGAGAATGAGAGAAAAGAAGAAGAAAAGGAGCGTGAGCAGATAAAGAACAGGGCAGATAAAAGACAGGGAGGGAAAAAAAGGAAGCAGAAAGAAAGGGGAAAGGAGAGAGGAGAGGGTCCCACTATTACAAGGCCTCAGAACAATTTCACATTATCAAAGTCTGCTACACATGAAACAGGAACTAGACCCATGGCAAGTGTGTGTTTGTGCAAAACATGTTCTGACATGGCAACTGTATCACAAATTTCATGGGCATCTGTTACTCATCTTTTCTACTACCAAGCAGTTGGATATGATCATGTTCCTTGTGTTTCAGTTCCAGTTCACATTTAATTTTATTCATTTATTCATTCACTGTTTCTATACATAGACTTGAAATACATGTAAGCCTGGCATGGTGGTGCACACTTGTAAATCCCAGCACTTGGGAAGGTGACGTAGGAGGACTGACACAAGTCTGAGGCCAGCCTGGGCTAGCAAGACCTTGTCTCAAAAAACCAGACTATGGCCGCATCCCCATTCCAGGAACTGTCCTCCTTCACGGCACATATGAGTTGGCTGTTTGGGAAAATACCTCACTGTCTTCAGCTGTGATAGGGCCAGAGGAGAGGGCACATGAATCTGAGGGAGTCAAGATGCCCTATGTGAAGAGTGAGCAGTATTCTGAGTTGTTTGGGTGGCCTATGAAGGGAGTGGAGAGCCAAAAGGAAAGAGAAGAAGGGATAGGAAAGAAGATAGAGGGCAACTAAGGAAAGGCATCCTCCTGTGCTACCCGACATTCCATTTAAGTCTCTGTCTGGACTGGGCTACCAACCTCATTTTCATACACCAACAGAATTTGCTCTATGTGGCTGCCTTGGGGTGGGACTGGAGCTTCCTTAGGGAAGGCAAAAGAAAGGAAGGCATGCTTGGGATGACGAGGACAGAAGGAGAGAGGAGCTAGAAGCCAGGGTCAGTTAAGAGGACCACATATGCACAGCATAACCCCATAAGCTAACAGGCATCTGGGCTGTGGGGCCTGAAAGGTAAGCAAGAACCCCAGATGGTATTTCTGGAGGGACTGTCGGGGTGATAGCCTGAAGCAGCACCAACTGCAATGAACAGAGACCCATATGCTACCTCAAGAAAAAGCAGGGTAGGGACACTGAGTGTCAGCGCCTGGTTGGGGTTACCAGAGAGTGTGCCGCTGGAGACTCACCTGCAGGGAGAAGGCCCGCAGTGCGGGAATGGGGATCAGTGCCGCCATGAAGAAGGCAGTGACATTGCTGATGGAGGTGAGTGCCACGCTGGCTCCTGTGCGCTTGAGGCACTCCCCAGTCCTATCCTGAGGACGAAAGGTCACAGAGCTGAGCCAATGGCCAAACATCACAGCCACAGGTGCAGGTTATGCTGGCACAAGAGGACAAGAGAGGTGAGGCCTCTCGGTGCCTTTTCCCCCCAATAACAGCACTTTCTATGTACTCCTGGGTCCTTTACTGTTATGCTCCAAAGCAGAAAAGTTACAAGGTAATGGATGAAATAAATTTTAAATAGGATTTAAAATAGGAGAGGAGGCAAAGTGAGCAGCAAATGTGGGCTTTGAAAGGGAGGTGGCAATTAGTGTGAGTTGTCACACTAAAATAAATACCCGTATTTCTAAAGGCACCCCAGATGGAGCTCTTGGGAATTCAAATACATGTCCTGAGATTCTTCCAGCTTGTTTTATTTATTCAGAGCCAGTACCATGTCATCTGACTCAGGACTGAAATATTTACTGGGTCAGACTGAGAAAAATTCAAGAACAAAAATTCAGGAACAGAGGGGACTTTGGGTGTCCTCAAAGTTTGTTTGTTTTGCTATTACCTCAAAAGGGATCCTTTTATTCTGTCCTGTTTCACTAAATGCATGTGCCAAGAGAAAAACGTCATCCACGCCAACACCAAGAGCAAGAAATGGCAAAACCTGCAGGGAAAACGGAACACACGGCCTTAGATGTGCAAGATGCAATGTGGGTGATTCTGAAAGTGCTTAAAACATTGTCTGCAGTGTCCTTAACAGTTACCCAACAGGGAGCTAAAATTGATTCACAGAGAAGAATTTACTTTATCTGACAGTTTGACAGTTTCTATCCCCACAGTCTAGCAATTTTGGCTGACAGTAGCTCTTCTCTCTTTCTTTCTCTTTCTCTCTCTCTCTCTCTCTCTCTCAATCTCTCCCATCTTCCTTCTTCCCTTCCTTCTAGTGGTACTGAGGATTGAACCCAGGTCCTTCATGCTGGGCTAGATTCCAGCTTTTTTTTTTTAGACAGGGTCTACGTTGCCTAGACTAGGCTCAAACTTACAATCCTACTGCTTCAGCCTCCTAAAGTGCTGGGATTAGTAGTGTGCCACCGCTTCCAGCTACATGCTTCTATTTTTTTTGGTTTGTTTTGAGACACGGTCTTGCTATACAGCCCAGGCTGGCCTCAAACTAGCAGCAATCCTCCTGCCTCAGCCACTGCCCCTTAAGTGCTGAGAGTACAGGCATGCACCACTACACTCAGCTACATGCTTCTATTTCTAAGGTTCAGGCACAGTAATTTTTGAAAGTTAATAAATGAGAAGGAACCTAACTCATTGAAAGATGTAAGTTCTCAGGGTAACCTGGGGATAGCATCATTGAGAACTGACTAGAAATGCAAACTCTTGGCTCCCACCCCAAGCCTGCAAAATCAGAAACTGTGACCAATAATAAAAATCATTGAGTATGATGACACACGCCTGAAATCCTGGCACTCAGAAGGCTGCGGCAAGAGGATCACTGTGAGTTCAAGGCCAGCCTTGGCTCCATAGTGAGTTCAAGACCAGGCTGAACTACATAGCAAGACCCTGTCTCAAAAACAAACACACAAATCAAATGAGCCCTGTAGGTGATTCTAATTCCCAGCAAAGTTTGAGAATTAGGGCCCTAATGATATAAATTGCTCTAAAAGAAGCATCTCTACTAATCAACAAACCCAAAAGACTTTCAGTCCCATAAATGGTTCATGGGGATAGCTAGACCCACCCCAAACCAGGAGCCTCATGGAAAAGGCTGGAGGCCAGGGTACTGGTCACACAGGAGGACTGAGGGGCTGAAACGAGGAGGGGCATTTGTGAAGGGACAGCAGCCAAATGGCTCCTTTAGTACCTGAGTTGTTGCAGCGTTAAAGGAAATCCCGATCAATGAGCACAGGCCCAATCCTGCAGCCACTGACAGTGCAACCAACAGGACGCCAGCCAGCCCCACGGCACCCTGGGACTTGGAGCAGTCCCAGCGCAGCATGGTTAAACAGGCATAGGCAAGCTGCAAGCAGAACAAGGGGGAACGGGAAAGGATAGGTGGGGAGTGTGGGGGAGGAGGAGGACACGAAACAAAAGCCAAACATTAGAATGTGTAGTGATTCTAATGTTTTCCCCCACCCATTACCCCAAATCCAAAGATAGTAAAACTTAAAATTCAACTCTACAACAAAACTTTTTACACTACAGACATCACACAAAATGATATGAGTCCAAGACAGGAAGGCTGCAATGGGGAAAAAAACGCTTTACACAACCACTTTTTAAACCGTTACAAAGCTGAGCTCTCTCTGTCTTGGATGCACACAGGAGTTAAGAGCAGTTAAAAAGCAGGAGCGGTCACAGAAAGGTAAAAACTAAAACAAACTAAACAAAACCCACCCAGGCCAAATCAAAATCCCCAGGAGCCCAGAACTGATCCTTACCATCAGTAAGTAGCCACTAGCCACGCGGATCACACTGACATCAGAGAAAGATTTTAGGATGTCGTCTAGGGTCGTGGTGGTAAAGGAAAGCACCTTTTGAGTGGAGTTCTGGGTGACGCTCTGATGAACCACCTGCAGTTGTTACAATGTACAATGCAAGGCTGAATTTCCAAGTAGAATTAAAGCTTCAATAAAACAGACCTTGGCGGGGGGACATCTCTGCATTGGTACGCTTTCTTTTTTGATCATTAACAAAAGCTCTTCATGATTCAGGTAGACAGGGGTGCAGACTGAAGGCTAAACTTGGACTGACATTAACAGACCCTGGCTCTGGGACAATTGGAATATCGATGATCATGGAGAATGGGTGCTGCAGAGAGCTGGCCTGTGGAAATGGAATTTACTCAGATGCTTTATTTACACCAAGTCTAAGACTCCTATTCTCCTCTCCTTAGCTCTCCGACTGATTTGCAGTCCCATCAGTCCCTCCTTAATCCAAAACAACTCATTCTTACAGGCACTCAACCCCCTCCTTCATTTGCTGGCCACTTTTAAAAGGTCACATGCAGCTCAGTAGAGGTCACTGCTTGGGAAACAAAGGCCAGCCCCTGTCACATGACCCAACCAAGGGGCCTGCAGCTGTGAACTGATTCTATGCCTTGCTAATGTTTTCCAGATAACTTTTCTTGCTCACCAAGTGTTTTTTTTAATAGAACCATCTTATGCCTGAACTGTTGAGTTCATAACTGGCTACTAAATACATTTCAAGGCATCTCAATCTGACTGTTTCTTAGATATTATCCTAAGATTTTCAACAGTAAGGAAAAGAAAAACAAGTCAGCATTCCATCAAAGTTCCTAGAATTATAATGTGTGAAGATAAACCCAAAGAAGAAACCAGAAGAACTGAGTCACACGCACAGGGCACATCCCTAGATCTGCAGGAGCTTTACCTCCACGTACGTCCTCTGCCAGGCCTCCAGGATGGCTGCTGCCTTGTCCTCGTTCCAGTTCATGTGCGAGACATACTCATAGCCCTTGAAGTGCTCGTACATCTGCTTGGGTGTCATTAACTGGAACATGGTCTGCAGGGCATGGGCGCTGGAGTGGGATGAAAGAGACCGCAAGGCACATCAATATTCCCATGGAGCAGTTTCCTTGGTGTAAAATCTCAAACACAAGCCCCAACTCACTTGGAGTTCCTTTCCTCCCCATGAGCACCTGTTTCCTTTCAGATGGGACTATGATGGTTATTTTATTTAATAGATTGATAAACCATATTAAAGGTGTAACCTTACAAACCCTTTACAGATAGACCCCAAAATTAAATTAATATGCAATTTCCTTTTTCAGTTTCCATTCCTTGAAACAGGAAGGGGAGAGGAGTAGATAGCTTGACCAGATACAGCTGGCTCAGTGAGGCACACTTGCTGTGCAGAAACCCCAGACTGTGGCTTTCCCAAGGGAGAAATCACAGACCAAACACCTGACACTTGACTGGCCAGACCCTGTGTGCACACAAAGGATAATTCTGTTTCGCCTTTGATTCTTGGTCTTTCCTTTAACAGTATGCGACAGTGCTCAGCTCACACCATTCAGCTCTATGCACCGTGGCTGGTGTCTTCTGGCTACTTTATACAATATTTGTCATTTTTCACATAATAGGAAAGGATCTGCTAAAACCTTAAAGCCAACAACTATAGTTTCCATAAAAGCTACAAATCCATCCTAGACAAACTTCCTACAAGGTGGCTTTTCAAGCTGGTCTGGTTTGCTAATATTTCCTAACATATGATTACCCTAGACAGCTAACTAGGATAACAGTGAAGTATGAAAGTAAATATACTTGCAGATGTCAAAGCGGAAGTGGTTTCTAAGGAAAGTTAGGAAGCATCTATGGCTTGGGTGTTGATGTGTGCTGGGTTACCTGACAAGTTTCCCAGTGCTGTTCTTGACTGTGCCACCCACAATCAATTCCTCCTGCCAGTGCATATACTTTCTGGACAATCCATGACATCCACCATTCAAAACAAGGGCCATATCAAGAGGCTAAAATAAAAAGACAGCCACATAATTATGGGAATTAGTAGGCAGGTCACATGCCTTGCTAAAATCCAGTGCATTAAGGGCTTGTTTGTTTCAGAGAGGACATTAATAACAAGGCTAATGAGAAGTGTATGGCATATCCTACAGCAAAATTTAGCTCTCTAAACAAACGTAGTTCTATAGACTAAAAGGGTAAAAAGGTTAAAGAGAATAAAATCTTAAAAATGAAAATAATAAAGAGAACTCTAAATGGAAACAAAAAAGCTTTTTCCTTTGCCCTCTGGGAATGCTCTATGGCTGTACTCACTTTGGTTGAATTTTTGTTGGAGGCAGTGGCAGGGCAGTCTGGATCAGCTGGATTGAGGCAGGGACGGTCCATGTACCCATGACCAACTTCTGCCTTATTCAGCATTTCTTCCCAGCTGTCCACTTGATAGTTTATTTTCTTTAACTCTTCTAGGAATTCCAAAGGGTCAAAGTTTGTCCACCGCAAAGGAGGTTTACCTCTGCGAAAGAAATTAGGAGGTGAGACTACAAAAAGCAGCTTTCAAACTCACCCTCTGCATATTTTTAGTCCATACTGCAAGAGGCTTTTTGGTAACGCTGAGATTCTCTGACTCTGGCATAAACAAATACATGGTCCTTCCCAGTGTATCACTGTGCAAACTTAATCCAGAGAATGATTCATGACTGAAGGTGGCAAGCTCAGGGCTTATAAATTAAGGAAAGCATCAAAGAACCCTAGCTGCCACGACACTGTATTTAATATTTTTTAAAAAATTAATCCATGGGCATTTCTAAGCAGAAAATTCAGATCAAAAGTAAAAAAAAAAAAAAAAAGGCGGGGGAGATCACAATGTCAAATTTGCACTTGCAAGCCTAGTAAATGCTTTTAAAATGTCATCAATCAAAATATTTGATCTCTGTTGCCTTTAACGATTCCATACTTGAGAGTGCTCTCTGACAGCATGGCAGTCAGGCGGGGAGCCCCCTGTGGCCTCCACCATCAGCACCATCACAGCCACTCCCCCACACTCACTTTTGAATTTGTGCTGTTGACAGACCAGAAAGGCTTTTGGCTGCCTGTTATGTGGTTCAAGCCACACTGTAGCTGCTTAACCAGGCTGAAGTCATTATTCAGACTCTCCCAACCAGAAAACACAAAACCCCTTATTTCCCATCTAAAACTGTACACTGAAGGTCAGGGGATGGGCACTGCAAATTGCTTTTGCAGATATTTGCAAGCCAGGACAGAAACAATAACCTAAGCACCAACTCTTGCATAATTAAATGAAAATGTCTATAATGATTAACAATGATTCTTTAAATGTGCTGTACATCTAATATCCAACTGCTAGACTGGGACACATCGGAGACTATGGCCTTCGATATAGTGCATTTCCCCCTTAAACGTCATTAATAGGATCCAAATAAGGTTAATATTTTATTTCACAGGAAGATCTTAAACTTTAACTCAAAATATTTAGTTCTGACATATACTTACAAATGCATTCTCTTCTTAAAAAATAAGTTAAAGGTCTAAGCGCCTGGTGTGCAAAACTATAAACATTTTGTAAAGAGTTAAAAAAAGAAATCACACATACTCTGCAATAATTTGCATTTTATTTGCATATAAATAGGTTGGTAAAAGTGAATGAAATTTAATGATCCCTACAGAACTTTTTTTTGAAAAGAGGGAAAAACATTCTGAACCCTTCTCTTCCACCAACTAGTCTTTCAAAAAATGCACACAGAATATCAATGTTTTTAATTTTTTGTTCTAAACTGAAATAGAATAAACAATGGTGAGCAACATCAGAAACACTGAGTTCTAGAATTTACCCCACTGGAGACACAGAACACACTTACAGGAGGTATGCTGTCCCAGACTGTAATTTTGCCCCTTCCCAGAAGCAGTCCAGTGGAGTAATAATTAAACAAGGGTAAAGATATTCTATTATCTGTCAAATTGAAAAAAGAAACAGACCATGCATTAGGCTAACATGTATCAGTAGGGTATATTTGAGAATTTTTGAGACATTGTTTTTGCAAACAAGAAAATATACCTGATCCATGTAACCTGTTTCTGTGATAAGTTCTCCTGATTTATAACACAAATGTTCCAATTTCCACTGCCTATTGGAATGAAAAGCAGAGACAAAGATTTTTCATTGTAATAAAGGAAATGACTGCTAAATGAGAATGATAGAACATATAAAAAGAATTGCAGTTTCGATCACTTTTAAGCATCTGTCAAAACGAGCAGAGCTTTTGCTGAGTGGAGACCCAACAAGCTCCCTTTAATGAATAGATAATACTCACATGTAATTAACATGTGGGGTGTTTATGTAAATGAATGCTACCAAAGTACTTGAAAAGTCTTGTTTTCTTTAAGTGTTCTCCCAATAATCTTGTTTACACCATTAATCTGCTTTCTACATACATTAAACAACCTCAGGCAGCCCAGCAGAATCATCACAAATTAAGATAAGTAGCAACTAAATTAGTGAAGTTTATAACATATTGACATATATTCAGGTGGGAAAATCCTTGGCCTTTTTATTAGTGGAGAATGTCTTTAGCGTTGAAGAAAGAAAGAAAAAAACCTTTTCTGCTCTTATACACAAATGTTATAAACAACACTTGCCAGGTAGACTGAAATCCCATTTTACAGTTTCTCTTATTATTGTCTTACAGAAAGGACATTAAATATATGAGTCAAGAACGAATTCAAAGTTTTATTATCTTTAGAAGTACTATTTAAACCCATGCTTTTCTGAATGTGTTAACAGAGATAACCTTAACTTGAAAAGAGTAAATCTGGAAGGAGTAGAGATAGGAATTCCAAAAAGAAAAATCAAAATAAAAAATTTCTTCCAAACTGCTCTCTCTGATTGGTATCCTAAGGTAAGGCTGTCTTCATCCAAGGAAAGTTTCTAGAATTTGCCCTCTTCTCTGGGCCTCCTCCCAGAACTTTCCCATTTGTCTCTCAGTGCCCTTCCTTGAAATATACTTGCTATGCTATCAAAGTTCAAAAACAAATCAAGATGGGCCCATAAAGGAAAAGAAAAAGAAAAATATCTCAGTCGTAGAGTACCTGCCTAACACATGAGGCCCTGGGTTCAACCACCGGCACTGGGTCTACACAAAGTTTTATGAGAAAGCTGTTTAAACTGATACTCCAGATGCATCCAGGGCGACCTTATCAGCAGCCACTCCCACCATGCATCTGCAGGTGACACAGCAGGCCTTACCTGTTGTACATGTATATGTGGACTCTGCTGGCCTGGAGTGCTGAGTCCAGGTGTTGTAGGAGCGCTTCTGTGGTCAGTACATTAGCACCTTCTTCCTTCGGGGTCTGTATCATGAGTTGAGGATTAAACATAGCCTCTTCTCCAATCTTCTGGCGAGTATAATTTAATTCACGACTTACTCGTCCACCAACTGACAAACATGGGCAAGTTTCAATTAAAACAGCAAAACTGACCACAAATTCATGCTCTCTTATCTGGCCAACTAACCTAGGTTCTTGGGTCATGGAATAGGCTGATCTTTATGGAGCAGCATTCCATGAATGGCAACTTTATGAATGGCAACTATATTCAAATACTTACTGTGCCTGCCAGCTGTCCCACCTGTTGGCTTGGCACACCTCCTTGAGGCGTGCTGTAACTAACAGACCACTAGTCAAAAGGGGGCAGGGGCAGGAGCAGGAAAACTGAGACACCTTTTCCTTGCAGACCAGACCAAATAACCCTGTTACAATTTCTTTCACTTGTATAAACAATGTGCCCCTGCAGTGCATTTCAAGATAAATGGTTTCAATTTACGCTCTTCTCCCAAGTAATCTGGCAAAGGTACCCAGGAAATGTTTTTCCTCCATGGAAAAAGAAACAAGGAAAGGTGGTGAGTGTGTGTGTTCAGCACACAACTTTCCAGGAGAAGATATATAAAATGTGATTCAAGTCAGATGCACATAGAGAAACCACGCCGAAGAACAAAATCTACCAGCCAGGTCCACCACGGGGAGCCCCCAGAACCTGCTTCTATAAGACTCACCTGCTTGCATCCAGAAAACATAGGTGCCAGGTTCTCAGTCACCTGTGTTCCAGAAGCTCCCCAAGTGATGTTATCGGTGGGCGAGCAGTCTGGCCCAGAACCAGCCCAGGTCTCCCACCAGGAGGCACAGCACTACCCACACTTCATGCAAACTGTCTTTCTCTCTTGATCTCTTCCTGTCTTACAGTCTCAGACCTAGGCTCATTTTCCATTACTGTGCCAGACCAAGCCACACTCAGAATGCTACCCCGTGGTGGGTAGCATCTGGGGTAGACAGAAGGAGAAAGAGGACCCCAGAGCCACCTCCTCAGGCACACAAACTCCAGGGCAGAAGAAGCCAGTATGAATGCCTCCTGAAGTCACTGATAAGTTAGTTGAATGGTTACTGAAAAGCAGAATGCTTACCTCCTGCTCTAGTTTAGAAAGAACTCAGTGATCGTAGTTTTCCCATGAGAGGAAATCCTTATTCTTCAAGTTTAGTATTCAAGGGGTTTGAGCAAGTAAATAAGTACTGAGAACAGCAGGGTGTTTAGTTCTCTTGGCATGTTTTATAAACAAGGGGGTAGGGGAAGAAGCAAATAATGTCTTCATTAGGAAAACTAGTAGAGTCGCAAGCTGACAGGGCTCTCTATGAGGGTTCCCCCGGAGGCCAAAGCCACTAGGGAGCTCTGAGGTGTGCTAGAGTGTGGAAGAGGAAAACAGGAGTAGGTTTTTAAAAAGACAAATACCAAGGGGAATGGCCAGGAGTGTGGCTCAGTGGTAGAGCACTTGCAGAGCAGGCCCAACGGTCTGGGTTCCATCCCTTGCCCTACAAAGAACAAAGCAAAACAATCTCTTGGGAACTACTTGCAAGAGAGGATGCATTTACACAATGCTGCTGGCAGTTCTTCTCCTAAAGGCCCACTGAAGCTGCCTGAGAGCAGGCTCTTGCAAAAATGCTACCCAAAGCTTTCAACCAATTAACTCCTGAATTTGACTCAATCCACTTCCTATATATAGGATGAAGTAGTGTTTGAAGCTAAGAAGCCTACTCTTAGTCTAGAGCTCACTTCTGAAAACCTAGAGCTGCACATTAAGGAACTCATCCCAACTTTTGCTCAACCCTATCTTCTTCTAGCCGTATCACATCTAATGCCCTGAACCCAGAAATCATTTCTCAATCTACCTGCTTCCTCAGACTTTAGTACAGCACATGACTTTACATTCTGCTACAAAGCAACACTTTTTATTTTATTAATACTTCAGAGGACTCAAAACTAGGAGGTTAACAAACAAGCATACAGAGTACATACTCTGGTACTCTAGTCAGTACCAGGGAGGAGCTGGCCTGTGAGACTGATAGGATTTTACCCTAAGCCTCAGCAGAGTAGGTGCCTGTGAGTAACTATGCAAGCCCTAAGACAAACCAAGAGATCAAAATAAAACACAAAGGATGTTTTATACACTCTTGCAGACCAATCTCACAATGGATCAACTATTTTAACATAAGAGTTTATGGAAAGGATGCTATTTCCAAGATAAAAAAATGTTCCAACACATTCCATCATGTTTTCATGATAAAATTAACATCTATTTTAATAAAGGTGTATATTTGCCATGTTTCTGGAACTGAAAACCTTTTTGTTTTTCCACCTCTTTGCTCTAATGATAAATGCAGCTATCTTATAGCAGTAACAATCCGTTTCAATGAAGATTATCACCAAGCTGACCAAACTAGAGTTGCTAAATAATTCCAATGTTTTCTCAACTATCCATATGCTGTATACTACTTAAAGACTGCTGTTAAACTTATTTCTACATATTATGATTACCTTACCTAACATTTCATTTTATGTTTAACCAAATATGATGGTGTTAGAAAACAAGCTAATAACTACAATGAAATTTAGCTGCCATTCTTTTTCTTTTCTTTTGGTACCAGGGATTGAACTTGGGTCCTTGTGCTTGCAAGGCAGGCGGCGGATTTTTTTTTTTTTTTCTTTTTTTGAGACAGGGTCTCACTATATAGTTCAAGGTGGCCTTGAATTCATTATGTAGCTCAGACTGGCTTTGAACTTGTGGTGATCCTCTTGCCTCCTGGAATGACAGGCGCACACCACATGCCTGACTTAGGTGCCATTCATTTTATTTGATCAGTAGTTGTTCCGACCATTCATTCATTCAGCAAGTGTTTGTGGATATACAGTAGCGGGAACCACGCTGGTAGACTAGAGCTAGTGACATGCACAGGCAATGTACAGCAAACCATTAAACTAATTTTATGGCATGAAAACTGCCATAGAGGAAAGAGGGTGATGCCATGTTGGATGGTACCTAAGAGAGTAAGCTAAGTCAAATAGGATGACTGGGAAGACCCAAAGGGAACTATCATTTTAGGTGACTGGACAGTTGGGGCAAGAGTATTCTTCCAATATAGCAATCAGCATATCAAAGTCCAAAGGTCTGCCCTACTACTGGGAGAAACAGAGGCAAGTGTGGCTGAAGCCTAGTTAGCCTGCAAGTAGTCATTCCTTTGCTGCTTGCGGTGTAGACTTAGCTCCTCCTCCGGTATATCTAGGTCATAAAAATGAACAGCATTCATATAGTCTCACATTAGTACTCACCCAAGGTGTTTGAGAACAAGCCACAGGAAACACAAACTCCTCTGGGCAGAGCAAGTTCAAGAACTCACCTGCCTTTTGCGGGCTACCATAGCAAAAGCTTATCCTAAAATCATAGCAGAATGACAGCCCAGGGCTGTTCTTAACTGGCCCAGGGCTGTAATCCCACACTCTGGAGGCTGAGGTAGGAGTATCAAAAGTTTGAATCATGCCTGGATAAGTAACTCAGTGAAGGAAAGCCTGTCTCAAAATAAAAATTTTTAAAAGGGGAGAGGGACTGGGAATATATTCAGTGCAAAAGCCCTGGGTTCAATCCCTAGTACCAAAAAAAAAAAAAAAGTGAAAGCTACTTGATACAGACATCTACATTAAAAACAAGTTCAAAGTAACTCCATTACATCCTTCAGTTCTCTTTAGTCTCCTTCTTCATCATCCAAACACAACTTTACTGATAAAACAATCAACATCTCTAAAGAAGACACAAGACCCTGAGATACAAAGTCACCTTTCACGCTTGTGTGGTATTTTCCATCTCCAAAGCCCTTGAACTCAATTTATTTCCTAGGAATATTCTGATTGATGCTGCTCCTCCATGCAGTTGGGGCCAGCTGTCCTGGACAATGAAAGACAAGGAACCCACACTGAGGCAGAGATCTGGGACACATCCCTGATACCATCGAACCTCATTACCTTCTCAGTAAAATGGGAACAAAAATGCCACAAGTAACCTGACAGGATGGTGTACGGATGAAATGACACTATGTATAAGAAAAACTTCCAGGAGCCCTTACCTGGGCATCAGTACTCACTGGCTGCAGAACTCATGTCATCACCCTTACTTCAGAGGAAAATCATTTGGGTGACTTACCGAAGGTCACCCCAGTAACAAGAGGCACAAGTGACCTTTATTATCTGAGAACTGAGTACAGCAGACAGGTGCTTTAGGAGTGCCAAATTCCTTCCACATACAGACTACACTGAGCTCACAGCTAGAACTCTTAAAATGCGTTAAGAAAACAGGTATAAGACTTCTAGATTAACTTTTTTTTCAGTAGGACTGCCCTATTTTTCTTCTGGTCCCTCTCAGAGCCTGTCCTGAAGATGGCAGCGAGATGAGGGCACAAAGGAAAACACAAGCAGTGTAAGTCTCTTTACCTATACATTCTGCATCTTGTTCTCCAGAAATCTAAGGCTCATACAATTCTTTGAAAAAGGACAGTAAAAAGCATCACTTCTGCAAATAACTTCTTGACCAAGCTCTGCTCATCTTCTCCCTCCAAGTCAAGCTTAGCATGGTTTTGCAAAGAAAAAAAAAAAAAGCCAGCAGCCCGGAGGGAAACCATTCAACCACAGGGCCCCTGCCTCTAGACCAGCACTACTCCAACCCACTGAGGCATCATTTCTTAGCACAGCCTTTTACATAAAGTATAATGCCTGTGGCATCTGCACAAAACTTGTTAGCAAAAACTTACTGTCACCCACATAAAGATGATCTGAGAGACAATGTCTCCTGTCCATATACCTCTGAAGTCAGAGCAGAGACCACTAGGGGATGGCAGTTACTCAGGCTGTGGTGCAAGCATCAATGAATGAACAGCCTCAGTACTGAGTCCTGGGAACAGGCAGTCATCTGTACAAGATATTAATCCCCCCCCCAAAGCCACAAAAAGTCAATCGGTCAAAACAAACGACCCTTTCAGCCTTAAAAAGTACCCACTCAGAGTCCAATTAGGAAAATAGGGTCTGTGTATATGCAAGCCTGGCATTTGCATTTGATTAATCCCA